GCGAGCGCAGACGTCCTCCGCGGGCGAGTTCGCCGCCTGGCGCTTCTCCGTGAGCTGCTTCTTCTTTTTTCCCGTCTGCGCGGCGCGCTTCTTCGTGCCCGCGGAGCGGTAGTCCTTCTTTTTGGGTGGCAGGAGGGCGTCGACCTCGTCGAGGACGACGGCGCCGAACGCCGCCGCCTTCTTGCCGAGGACCTTGTAGGCGGAGAACGCGTCGAGCGCCTCCTTCGGCGTCGCGACGACGACGCGCGCGGCCTTCAACGCGTCGGCCGTCGTCGCCGCGCCGACGACGAGGAGCTGCACCTTCGACTCGTCGCCGACGATGCCCGCGGCGTCCGCCGCGAGCTGCAGCGCCAGCTCGCGCGTCGGCGCGAGCACGAGCACGGCGGCCGCGACGTCGCCGCCGGCGTCGAGCGCCTCGAGCCGCGCGACGGTCGGCAGCAGGAAGGCGACGGACTTGCCGCTGCCCGTCTCCGCGGCGAGCATGGCCGACGCGCCGCCGAGGAGCGGGCCCACGGCGGCCTCCTGGATCGGCGTCGGCGCGACGATGTTCCGCTCCCGGAGGGCCGCGACGAGGGACCCGGGCAGCTCCGGCGCGAGGTCCACGAAGGACGCTCCTACGCGGGTCCGTGGGCGGGCGCGGCAGGGGGTTTGCGGGGCCAGCAGGGCGCTCGCGCCGCAGAAAAGGACTGCGAACTTGAGCAGCATCATCGCTTGAGGCAGCGGCAACAAGTGGCAAACGTCTACCTCAAGCCAGGGCCATCAGCGCATCTCATCAGCGCATGATGGCAGCGGCGTTTGCGAAACGCGCAACGCGATTTTGGCGCGCCAACGCTGCCAAAAGAGTCCTCATAAAAACTAGTAACTTGACCAGCACCGCCGCGCCGCCGCCGCCGACGGACCTCGCCCTGCCGGACTTTAAAGCTGTGCTCTCCGACGCCACGGGCGACGCTCTCCGCACGCAGGGTTACGCTGTGGTTGATGGCGCTTTTGGTGAGACCTGGGCCCACTGCCTGCGCGACGACATCATCACGCTCGCGGAGCGGCGACAATTGGGCCGCAACCAGACGCACATCGTCGCCGCCGGCGAGACGCGCCTGCTCGAGAAGGACCGCATCTTCGAGGCGGAGCTCACGGCGCCGCGCGCGGAGGCGCCCTTCCTGACGCGCCTCTGGGCCGCGGCGGCGCTCAGGGAGCGGCTCTCGGCGCTGCTCGGGCGGACGCTAGGCCGCCAGACGCTCAAGGTGCAGGTCAACGGCGGCGGCGGCGCGTGCTTCCCCCTCCACTTCGACAGCGACCCGCTCCTGGACGACCGCGTCGTGACCTGCATCGTCTACCTGAACCCGGACTGGGCGCCGGGCCACGGCGGCGAGCTCCGGCTCGTGCCGTTCCCCTACGCGGCGGCGACGGTCGACCCCCGCTTCGACCGGTTGGCGCTCTTTTCCTCGCCGGATCTCCTCCACCGCGTCCTGCCGTCGGCCGCGCCGCGCCTCTGCCTCACGCTCTGGTTCTACGCGAGCGAGCGCGCGGGCGCGGCGCCGCGGCCGCGGGACGAGCGGCCCGCCGGCGACGGCGACGACCCAGTGGCGGCGGCGCTCCGCGACCCGGCCCTGCGCCGCTACCTGGCGCGCTCGGTCTACGCGTCCGACTGGGTCCGCTCCATCGAGGAGTCGCACGCGCCGTCGGCCGCGCGCGACGCCGCGGTCGCGACGCACGCGGCGGACGTGCGGCGCATCGACGCGGCGCTCGCGCGGCGCGGCGTCGACCCGGCGGCCGTCGCGGCGCGGCTCCCCCTGTCGCGCGAGGACGTGGCGATCGACTGGTTCCGATAATTGTTACCGACGAAGGCGCGCGCGCGGCGCGAGACCGCGGGCGGACTCGGCGCGGCGCCGCCGTCGGCGAAGCGGGAGCGAGCTGCGGTGCGGCGGGAGTGCGAGATGCGAGCGAAGCGACGGGCCGGGCCGGGCCGGTTTCGTCAGAGCTTCGGCGCGACGACGGCCGCGGAGAAGTTCCCCGCGGCGTCCGTCAGGTTGCCCAGTCTGCTGTGGCCCGACGCGCTGCCCTCGCCCCGCGACTTCTCCCAGACGTGGAGCAGGCTGCTCCGGTCGAGGACGAAGAAGCACGCGCTGAGCACCGTCATGAGCGCGAGCGTGAGCAGCAGGACGATGGACGACCCGTAGCAGACGCTGCCCTGCTGCTTGCTATTCTTCCGCGCGCCGTAGACGATCTCGTCCTCGCCCGGCGGCGGCTCGAAGAACGTGTAGGAGCTGTAGCCGTGCTGCGGCGCGGCGATGACCGTCGGCAGCGCGTGGCTCGACTTGATCTCCACCAGGGGCATGGCGCCTGTTTTTTTTTCGCGGAAGCCGCGGCGCTG